CCCAATATAGGTGTAAACATGTTTTGGAATTCAAAATATGACTACTATATTTAACGAAAAATCCTACTAAATTATTAACAACTCCATTAATTATGTTGTGTAATTAAAGTATTTAAATGATTATAATTATTCATTGATTATAATTACGACCATTATATTTAAAGTTGTGTGATCGGGTAAGAAAAAGTAAATAAAGTTAGCCACGCAAAACTTTCCAAAAACAGAAATGGAAAGAATTTTATGGGACATCCCAAAGATAAGTGAGAAGAATTTTATGCGGCAAAGAAAGTATATTACCCCTATTCCGGTGAACTTTGCCAGGTTCAAAATATGTGAGAAATAATAAAAGTAGAAATTATGAGATTGGGGTTTGACAAGAGAGAGAAACAAGTTGCTTCGTTGTCTAAAATAAAAGTTATAAAGTTTTTTTGAACAAACAAAAAAGAAAAGTTGTCAAAGTTGAGTGAAACGGAGGGTGTATAATTTAGGAGAAAATTCCCAATATAGGTGTAAACATGTTTTGGAATTCCAAAATATGACTACTATATTTGTTTACCTGAAATAAGTGTATTTACTGTCATTTTCGACTTTTTACCGTCAAAATAGTTACAATACTAGGCATTGACATGACAATATATATTGTCATTAATGATAGTTTTTTTCATTCATTACAATAAGAACTCCTATTTTAGAAAGAAAGACATGTAAAGTACTCTATTTTGAAATTTGAAAACATGTTTACTCTTATTTAAGGTAACTTCCCTATAATTTAGTCATCAATCTACAATTATAGTATTATTATCAATATTATTCTGTCGTGTTTTTATTCTCTAAATAAGAGTAATTACTGTCATGTTTCGGCTATAAGTGACTTTAAACGTAACAGTATTTTCCAAAGTTGACAATAATTACTCTTATATATTGAATAAAAACATTATAGCCTTAGTTTGGACTTTGGAATATACAAAACGTTTTTAGTCTTACTAATGGCAATTTCCCTTTATAAAAGAACAAGATGTAATCCAAAATTGTAATGAGGTTTTCTCACATAAGATCCATTACAATTAAAATAAACGATGATGTATAACAATATTTCTATGTGACAATGAAATAAATTAAATATAATTTGATAATACACTTATAGTGTGTGATTTAATCAAAAAACACGTTTTAGGAAACACTATTTTAACTTTTGAAATAAAAAACATTATTTTCTGTTGATAATATAAATTCACACAAGTTAAGATCACAACACTTAAAAGTAAATACCACAACCCACAGCAATGGAAGTAACATCTTCAATATATAGTACGCGAAGTACCCGTGCGATGCACTGCGCATATCTTGACTTGAATAGTAACTTATTTAAAATTATATTTTATAATGGTATGTAATATGTAACTTTGCCACATAAAAAACACGATAAAGTTTATGTATTGTAATTTTTATTAATTATATACATAGTAGTAGCTGTAAAAAAAAGTAAATTTGGATCGTATAAAAAACTGTAGTAACTTTAAAATAAAAGATAAGGTGTGACAATAACTCTATGTGACAATGAATTAACTTGATAGTACAATTATTGTGTCTCATAAAACTTTTTTTTGATGTACTTTTAAAACTTTCTTACACTTTTCCTTTTAGCATGTATTTAAAAGTTTGTGACACTTTTCTTTTGAGTAAGTTTGTCCTTATAAATACTGAAATTCCCTCGCTTTTTTTATATTGTTTATCCTCTCTTGCAAACATTAACATGTTCTCTTACCTTTTCTACATTATTCATTACTCCTACTACTTTCTTCTTTTAAATAATGTCCCAAAGTATTCATTGCTGCAAACCGCTAATCCAATACATGTGCTAGCGAATTGTCAATCACCATTTTGTACAACATGCGATTTTATCGTTATAGAAAATACATGCTAGAAAATACAACAAAGAAAAGTCTCATGAGGCCCACTAATTTTTGTACTATCAAGTTATCTCATTGTCGCATAGAGATATTAGTTATACATTATCGTTTATTTTAATTTTACTTGAACTTTTACGATCCAATTTTGCATTTTATTACAACTATTACTTATGTACTTCGTATATAATTACTAAAAGTAACAACACATAAACTTTATCGTCTTTTATATATTTGACAAAGTTACACATTATCTACCACCATAAAACATAATTTTAATTAAGTCATTATTCAATTCTAGATATATTCCCGTGCATCGCACGAGTACTTTGTCTAGTTACAAATATAATTGTGGGCAGTGGGTGAAAGAAGCTATATTCTAACATTGAATCTGTTAGAAATGCAGTGAAGTTTATGAGGAGTTCTCCGAGTAGATTTGAGTTTTCGAGAACGCGGTTGCAAGAGAGAAATTACCATTTGAGGGGCTTGTGTGCTTAGATATTCTTACAAGATGGAATTCAACATACTTGATGTTAGAATCTACTTTGAGATTGAAAAGGGCATTCAAAAGAATGGAGCAAGACCCTATTGGTGGATACATGGCCTACTTCAATGAACCAGAAGAAGCAGTTCAAGATGACGACAATGTTATAGTGGCAAAGAAGGCAGGGCCACCAACTGATGAAGATTGGGACCAATTTAGTGCATCACTCCGCCCTACAACCCACACGACATTGGATGACACAATAGCAATAGAACAAGTTAACTCTTCCCAGTGTAATAGATAGTACTTCTACAAATCTTTTAATGGATGAAGTTGGGGCTTTGATGAAACAAAAGTATAGCAAATACTTTGGTGATTTGAAAACGCTAAACCCTTTTGTCATTCTTGGTCTTGTGTTGGATCCAAGTTCAAGCTTCGACATGTAGGTCTTGTGTTAAGAACAATGATGGATTGGACTGGAATCGAAATTTTTGACAAGGAATCTGAGATAAAAAATTCATGTTAACTCTCTATGATGACTATGTTGACAAATCAGGGGTTGCTAAGAATATGAAGAAGAGACTTAGGGATGGCCATAAAGAAAGCAATATGAAGAGAAAAAAGAACATAATTGTACGTGGTAACTCAAGCACAAACATGTTTGTAATAGACTGGACTAAACATGTTGAACAACAAGATGAAGTGGTGATCATACATGAGATAGACAAATACCTCAAGGATCCTTTAGAATCAATAGGAAGAAAAGCTGAGAGAGAATGTGAGGAAGATGAAATTTTCATTGATGAAGAAGTGATTGAAGAGGACAATAGAATGTTTGATGTTCTAGGTTGGTGAAAATGTGCATCTGTCAATTATCCTATTTTAGCATTAATGGCTAAAATGTGCATCTGTCAATTGAAAATGCGTATCTGTCAATTATCCTATTTGTTGTCCAAGTTTCAACAGTCGCCTCTGAGAGTGCGTTTAGCACTGGTGGAAGAATTATTGATTCATTTAGGAGTTCCTTATTAACTCCCACTTCAGTTGGGGCATTAATTTGGATGAAAAAATGGCTTCGGTGGGATTATGGGTGGACTCGGGCCAGTTCGGGCCCGGCCGGGCCTCGGGCCAGAAACCTAGGGCCCGGGCCCGAACCGCCGATGGGCGGTTCCGGTTCCGGGCCAAACCGGGCCGGGCCGGGCCGGGCCAACCGATCTTTTTTTTTTTTGTTCTCCTTTTTAACCCCCTACCCCTCCCCCTCAACCCCAAACCACCCCAAACCACCTCAAATGGCCCAAAATACCTAATCCAACCCAAAACTTAAAAAAATTTCAAAAAAAAAAAAATTAAAATCCGGCCCGGGCCGGCCGGGCCGGCCGGGCCGGTTCACCAAAATCAGGGCCCGAGCCCGAACCGCCATCCCACCGGGCCGGGTGGCCCGAACCGGTGCACCAACCGGTTGACCGGGCCGGTCCGGGCCCGCACAGTAGCGGGCCGGTCCGGTTCCGGGCCGGTTGGCCCGGCCCGAGTCCACCCCTAGGTGGGATGACATACTCATTCAATTCCAAGATAAACCATGTGCAGATGTGCAGAAGAGCTGGAGTTTTATGAAGGCATTGAGATAGGTATATATTACTTTCAACAAATTTGTAAAAATGAAAATTCCATTATATTCCTTACAAGTATGCACTCTATGTTTATTATTCTATAATCAATACTCGTCTATACAATATTATAACTTTATTTTTAGTTGTTATAATTATAAATTATGTTTATACTTTTACAATTGGCAAATGAAAAAGCTGGGAGCTCGATTAACAATGAAGATCAAGAAGGATGAAGGTCAAGAATGATGCACTTATTAAATTATTTTCATATCCTTACTGTGTTGGACTGTTTAAGTTTTGTAAACTAAAGACTAAATGAGTAAATTGTAATCCTCTGTAAGCTGGGAGAATGGCTAGCAATGTGTTTTTGTTGGATTGTTTTGATATCCTCCAGGCAGTTAGTAACTTGGTAATTAGTATGCTCTTTTTTTTTATCATTTGAAATGGTTGGTAGTGTTTGAGGTTTAGCAAACCAAAGACTTAATTGTAATCCTCTGTAAACTGGGAGATCAGCTAGCAATGAGGTTTTGTTGGATTGTGTTGAGTTTTTTTAATCTAAATTGTATGCTCTTTTCTAGGCGGTTTCTATCATTTAACTTGGCATGATGGTATCTAGTAATTGAGTGAATACTAATTGCTAGGTTTTTGTAATAATTTTAGCATTAGTTTGAAATTATACCGTACCGCTTTGTGCCGGTTCTGAAATGACATGGTACCAAATGGTTTCAATCCTAGAACCGAACCGTACCGGACCGTTTAAAACTTAATGGATACATTGCGGGGTTTGCTAATTTCTCGGACCGTTCTGGGCCACGCCCACCCCTATGAGAGACTATTACAAAAGGACAATTTAATAAAATTGGTTTACAGTTGAAAACGTTTTTTGGTAGAGGTGTTCGAAGAACACAAAGTTAGAAGGAAATTACTTTAAATAGGACTAAAAACGTTTTTATATTAAAAAAATATGACTATTATGATTAGGGCTGGACATATCGATTTTCGGTTCGATTTTTTTCGATTTTGATTCGGTTCATGATGGAACGGGTTGGAAGAATTATTACTAAACAAAAACCATACTATTTTCCGGTTTGGTTCGGTTCGGTTTGATTCGGTTTGGATGTGTTAATTTTTAATTATATATGGAGGCTTTTTGAATATCTTTAATTATATAAAAGTAATTACTCATATATAGAGAATAAAAACATTTTAAAATTAGAAGAATTTTAGAATTTTCCAATTAGAAGAAGCGAAGGATAACCCTATCCACCGTGCCATGTTTAGAAGATGCCAGGTAGGACTGAAGATAGGAAATCCTTTGGGCTCTATGCATTTTCCACCACTCATTTAATTTCCCACTCAATCCCCCTCTCTCTCCTATCAAAATCATATCGCTGAACTTCTCTAAACATCCACCAAATAAACGAAATAGAGCAGAGATAGCCAAGTGATCGAACCGCAAATAAATGGCCTCTACTTGTGCAGTTTCCATGGTGATGCCCCCACTGACAGTTGCGGCCCTCAAGCGGCAGCCAACCGCGGCCGCCGTTGGTTCCTTCTTGAAGCCGATGTCGCCGGCGAGACAATCTAAGCCGATCGCGGCGTCAAAACCAGCCGGGAATTTCGAAGTGAGAGCGTCGCTCAAAGACAAGGCTGTTACCGGACTGACGGCAGCCGCACTGACGGCATCCTTGGTGACTCCGGGGGTGGCTGAAGCGGCTGACAGTATCTCGCCGTCTCTGAAGAACTTCTTGCTAAGCATTGTTGCCGGTGGGCTTGTGGTCGCCGTCATTGCTGGCGTCGTCATTGGCGTCTCCAACTTCGATCCTGTTAAGAGGGGCTAAAGAAAGACTCCTTTCATGTAATAATAATAGTACTTAATATTATTATTCCCCCTTTTGTCTGGTGTCTGTATTTTCAGATGATATGGTCAATTTAATTTCTCAGAAACAACCGAATCATATTCAAGATTTCATTTTCCATAATATGCGTTTTTACACTGTTAAGAAATATATATATATATATATATATATATATATATATATATATATATATATATAGAGGAATGTTCATGTCAGGCCGGCCTGACGGGCTGCCCCGTCCGACCGAGCCCGTTTGGGCACCTTTCCGGTGGAATTTTTTGATGGAATTTTTTGAGCATGTTCCTCATCAAGTCTAGTTTGTCCATACCAAATTTCAGCTTAAAATTCGATCGGGAAGGTCGTCAAATGATTTTTGCAAGTTAACTGGTCCGGAATATGTATTTTCCAGACCAGTTAACTTGCAAAAATCATTTGACGACCTTCCCGATTGAATTTTGAGCTGAAATTTGGTATGGACAAACTAGACTTGACGAGGAACATGCTCAGAAAATTTCATCAAAAAATTCCACCGGGAAGGTGCCCAAACGGGCTCGGCCGGACGGGGCAGCCCGTCAGGCCGGCCTGACATGAAGAGCACTCTATATATATATATATATGTGTGGGTGTTCTTCATAACACACCTTACAATTGCTTTGAGCAAATAATACTCAGTGGTAAATGTTTCCCTCAAGAGGACTCATATGTACCTTCCAATTGTTCAACGAAGATGGGACAAAAAGAATTACACTAAACCCATTAGGTACCTACTCTCCAGAGAAGGATCAACTTTGTCTGCCTTGACAACTGTGGTCTTCACCCTCTGCTCATCACCATATATTTCCTCTTTGATTTTAAGCTTAAATAGAAACTGAGTGAAGAGGCATTTCTTAATTATTCCAGAGAATTTAGAATTGTCTTCATCTTCAAACTTCAACATGTATAGATCCTTAGCTGGGCAACCCAATATCTCTTCCCCTGCTTCCTGGAAGGCGGTCACCCATGTTAACCCAGAATGGTCCTGGATTTGAACTTGAAGAAGGTACCTATAGTCACACTCCTCGAATTCTTGATTGCATCTCTCACAGACCCATTTTGAATCCCCAGACTTGGTTACCTTCTTGTTACACTGTCTATCTCCGATCATCAAAGGGCATGCAGTATAACAGAAGTTGTCAGTCTTGATGAAAGACAATGTTGCCTTAATGGTAACCCAGTCTGGCTTATTTGACCTTCCCAGGCCTTCGTTCTTTATTTGGTAGATGATTTTACGTACCTCGTTCTTAGAACCCGAAGGAATAATATCTCTAGATATGGAATGTGGGGCAGTTTCTTTTCCTCCTTGGTCAAACCATTCCCTTAGGCTAAGAGCTTCTGGAAAATCAGGGTTTATGAAGAGTTGAGTTGCAGAGATGGTTCCTACCGACTTACCATTGAAATCGTTGACTTTTCCTGCTTTAACTGCTAAAACAGGAAAGAAACCAGTGTCTAACATTTCCTGCAGTTGTTGACCTTCCCTGTTACAGAATTCTCCCCACATTGTTAAGTCCACACTCCGCCCAGATTGATCCTTTAGGTTAAGGACTCTCCTTTGAGTCTCCATGCCATTCTTGCGAAGGATGGGAACTGAAGGGTTAACACATATCACGATGCCAATCACGTCTAGTATAGAATTATTTTCAGAATTCTCAATTTCACTAATAGGTCTAAAAGAGAACTGTTGTTTGGGAATGGAAGGGTCCTCTTCTGGACATAGGTCAACTGTAGAGGACGCTTCCAACAATATCTCCCACTCGTTCTTGAGATGGTTGAAGTTCTTCTGTGCGGGTTTTAAGCTTCCTTTTGATACCATGTAAACTTTTCCGACTTCAATTTTCTCGTAAAACCGATCAAGAACGGCGTTGAAGCAGGTTGCACGTATTTCTCCACCATCAGAATCAAGGAGATCAAACGAGAAGACTTTTCCATCTCCCTTAGCATTGTTGTAGCGGCGAATATCGCCTTTTGCAGTGACTCTAGCCTTAATAGCCCATCGACCCAAATATGGATTTAGAGCAGCGATTGGGATTATGCGTGCTGGTGCCTCATTCATCATGACTGCCCCATGTGATTTATAGTTTGGAGGTGGTTGGTATGCCGGTTGAATAGTTGGGCGGTTCGTCTGGAAATTATTGCGAACACTTTGTGAGCTCAAATTGTTGCTGTTTATTTTCAAGCTCGTTTGCCCATAACTTTGAGAAGGCACGTTGGTGTTTCTATTGAACGTTACAGGCTCAGAATTTGTTCTTGGTTTCTGCACTACTGAATCAGTTTCAACAAGTACATTCGGATTCCCAATAACTTCACAGTCTGGTATGATAGTTTCAAGATTGATTATAACAATAATCCTGTAGCAAGCATGATAAGATTACTGTTATGTCTCAACAAGCAAGATGGAATGTGGAAATGTGGAATACAGATTGAACACGCATGTAGTTTGTATATTCTCAGATTAACACATACAAAAATGTAAGCTTATTTAGTACGGAGTAATGTAATCTCTGATTATGGTTTGGGAACCAAGTAGCCAGAACTCTCCATTGCATTATTACTGAAGTTAATAACTTAGATAACTACATAAGTCTATTATAGGGCACGCATCAAAATTATTAAGATCACAAATGTGGAAAAACGCATCCAGAAGGATAAAAACAATAAATAAATCGAAAGATCAACCCAGTGCAGTATCATCAGTAATTTTCTTACTCGAGCAGCATAATCCCAACCTTAGTTACAGGACTCATCACCACAAACCAAAGCTATTATCACCACGTTTTAGGTGGGAGATATTTATCTTTCACATTCTCAGCAAAGGGAAATCACAGAAAAATACAGACCAACATTTCAGAAACATATGAGGCAACATATATGCGACATTAATTGAGCAAACATATGCAATTCAAGGGCTGCGTTAACCAAAATGGCTATTAAACATTACACAGCCTAACACCTATAGACCGCATACGCCTAAATATTCGTTTTCTTCAGCCATATCAGTATGGAAATTCAAGAGGGATTTCCTATGGTTGAGACCTCTAATGTCACAATTTAAATTAACGGAGTTGAACTGGAGGAACAAATTCATAGAAATAAGAGCAGTACTTGCGATTTTGAACGGTGCTGCAAATGTACTCTATCAGCTGGACGACGGAACCCTTGCGGATGCGCCCCGTGTTGACTCGATCATTGAGCTGAGTAGCGAGCATCGCTTGCTGAGTGGAGACCGAGTCGGAGAGTAAGAGGCGGTAACGCTCCTGCTTGGTGCCTATGAGCTTGATATCCAGCACCTGGACCAGCGGCTTCGAGTTTAGGTCACCGGCGATGATAGCCTGGACGGCGTTCGCCGTTAAATTCACCGGCGGCATCTGGAAATTTGTGGATCGAGATTTAAGAGGAATTCCGCGAGGGAAGAACTTTTCAACAAGAGCAATTCAAAAGCAAAACGAGTTCGATTTGGGTTTTTATATGGACAGGAGAGATGGCGAAATGGCGGGGCGCAAAGTGGGCAACCGTCACTTGGAACCATATCACGGAAACAGTTAGAAATAATATGGAAACTATTTGTGGGCTCTTTAGTCTCCATTTTGGCCCATTTGAATGTTACATTTTTTGAAATATCTGGGCTTTAGCCCGTATTTAACTGAGAATGTTTCATGAGTTTTTTTCCTGGCATAATTTTGTTTCCATGTACTTCGTATTTACATCAATATATTCTTCTGAAAACAATACCAAGTCAGAAAGTTACAGTATTACTGCATAATGCTTCAAACAATTATAAAATATATTGTTTGTTTTTTAAAACTATTTTAGGAGCCATATAAATGACTCATAGACACATTTTGGTTAATGTGAGAATTGCGATGAATCCCAACCTTTAGATTTACAATATTTCGCTAAACGGTTTTATCGGTTTTATGTTGCACTAGGATTTAAATCTTGCAAAAGCTACAATAAAATAGCTTAAAGTTGTACTACCTTCACCTCCCTAACATTGGTACAGGAGAAGGTGGTGCTGGTATCAAGAAAATTTAGTTTATATTATTGGCATTAAATTGATAAAGTGATAATAAAGTAAAAATAATTTGAAACCACATAAATGTTACCAAATTCGATATGAGACAATCTAAGTGACATAGATTAAAAAAATGAGAAAATCTTAGCAGAACGGATGAAATAATAGAATTTGATGATTTTGCACTAAAACGGCTTCAGATTAGACTAGGCAGATGCAACATTGATTTCCGGAGAAGTATTTATGAAAATGCAATCACACGGTTGCAAATTTTAGTGCAATATGAAGCTCTTTTACTACAACATAGTCAAATTACAATCAAGGCCGTCTTTTAGGAGGTGCAATAGGTGCTTAGCACCGGGACCCATTCTTGTAGGGGGCCTCCAAAATTTTAGAGTACGAGATTAGTTATAGCTTAGGTTGATTTTTCCATATGTTATGTATTATTCAAGATTCCAAAAGGCATACAACATTTAGATTCTTTAATTTGTACACTTTAAACATCATAAGGAGTAAAAATTATATTTCATTGAACTATCTAGGGTCTATTAATATTTCATTGTTAAATTTTACTAGTACATTTTTTCTTGCTTTAGGGGCCTCAATCTGTCATTTGGAATCGGGATCTCCAAATTCATTATATTGAGATTCATTTTTTATTTCTCAACTAAATAATACCTGTGATTGGAATCTCACCCTAAGTACGAAGTATATTTTAATTTTATAAAAAAGAAATTATATATTTTAGAGATATTACCCAGAATGGGACTAAAAAAGTTTGAAAATTCCAAAATAGGACTTCCATGTTTTTATTCCCAAAATAGGACTAATTACTGCTATGTTTTGGCAGTACCAGACTTCAAACATGACAGTATTTTCTAAATTTGGCAGTAATTAGTCCTATTTTGGGAATAAAAACATGACAGTCCTATTTTGGATTTTTTGAACTTTTTTAGTCCCATTTCGGGAACTTTCCCTATATTTTAAGTAACTAGTTCAAAAGAAATACAGACTACGGAGTACGTAGTATTTGTATTTGGCAACTAACTTTATCATTTTAGCAAATTCACCAACTTTAACTATTTATGCTCAATAGACATAATAGAATAAAATGGGGTGCCTGGCTCACCTATGAATATTGAAGAATTGCTAGATCGGAAATTGAAAACCATAAGAATTACGAACAAGACAACATGTATTACATTCATCTATACTTTTGTTGTTTATAGAGAAATTTTCACTTCGTTATATAAAAGCCTACACTTAAAGAGCATTTTATATCCTTCATATTTTAGAATTCTATTAAAAAATGCTCCTAAAGAGAGAGCTCAACCCAATAATCAAAGAAATTTCACAAAAGAAATGTTAAGGACGCAAAAACAAGAAAAACGACTTTGTAGGTTCTTTTCGACACTATTTGGCTACTTGTTGCTTTGCTGGAACTATAAGCAGCTAAAAAAATAGGAAAAGTAGATTCCCATTTCCCACTTCACATGCTAGTGTTTGAAACAATTTATTTACTTATTGAACATATTATTTTAATACCTCCCTATTTAGGTTGTCTTGGATTGATTTTGAAAACAGCCAAGGTTGAGTTGGATTGGAACAATATATGAATGATTGAAGGCGAAACAAATAATTTTATATCATACTAATCAAAGTAAAGTAGCATAGCTCATTAAATTGTCTGCGTTTCTTTGCGATTTTCATCACGGCCATACGGAAATAGTCTCTTCATACTCTAGTATAGAAGTAAGATTGCGTACATCCGAATAATGATAATGAAAATGACTAATCGAAGTAAGGATTATAATACATAATTCCACCTATGCACCGGTGTCTTATAATACATAATTCCACCTATGCACCGGTGTCTGAAATAATAGGTTAGAGAGGGCGGAGTTTAGAGAACTTATATTCATAGGGGCCAAGTTTGAAATATCACTATGCTTTAAAGTTTAAACCACTTATAAATATTTATATATATGCACAAGCATCGCAATTTTGGGGGGATGGAGACCCCCTCTAGCCCCGTCTCCACCGGTGTATGTACGAGTATTCGGTTTACATGTAGTGATAGCTAACTATAGCCTTACCAAAACCGATCATTCATTTACCATGAAGGTATCATGCTAAAGATCATTTAAAATGTGTGACATCCAAATCCAACCCCTCATCAATCATCATTATATTGAATTACTCTTTATTACTCTGTATTTAGCTTTGCTTACATGATCACCAAACATTTACTGTCATAATTTCATGAGTGATTAGGTGATGATTCACGAACCATTCATTTTGACCGAATTCTCTTATACATAGTACTAGTTTATTATAGAGGTGAGTGATTAGGTCATATGATTAAGCCTTATTTCAATTGCTTAGGACTATATAGTCAACTCGGTAATGTGTGACATTATTGTTATGCGTACTTTACTACTACATATTATTTAAATTTGGTTTGGTCTTGTACGTATGATCTGTTTAAGTATGTTCTTTTCAAATTTACCCTGTTTAAATCTGATTTAGTATAATATGTTACGTAATACTTCGTATGAGTTAGTATGATCTCATATCAAACTGCAACTAATCGAATCTTATAGTTCTGAGGCAAATTATATCCTACAACCGGCTGTACCTTGAGCATGGTACAGCCGGGTATTTTTGTAATATATTGATGTTGGCAGCCGTTGTTGTTACAGGAGAAGGGAACGGTGAAAGAGCCGAGTCGGTCGTTTCCTGCTGTGGATCAAATTTTGCTACGCCTGGAACTCCGAAGAGCTCTGCACCGCCATCCATTCTGATTACTTTTTCTTTTTGCTTTTTGCTTTGTGCACAACCGTCATCTAGTTTTGTCTTTTTCCTTTGACTTTTTCTTTACTTTTACCTAGCTAGTTGATTTTACTTTATTTTGTTTAGTCTTTTTATTTACTTTTTTTCGTTTGTTTATTTGTTGATTACTTTTTTTATATTATACCAAGCACATTAGAAATGAATTCTACCTTAAAATCAAATGAGTAAAACGCCTAAAAAATGAACATACACAAATGAGCTTTTAAATTTTTGAATACTCATTTTGTAAATTATGTATGTTCATTAAGTATCTCTGCTATGCTCATTTTTAAAATGTTTTAGCAATGCACATTTCAAAAATCTCATATTACATTAGATTTATATAAGAGTTGATTATAGACATGTTGGGATATATTATCCCGGCCTATTACTGTTCAGGAGCCCAAGACTTTACGTAGTACGGAACCCAATCAGTAAGGCCCATTTTAGCCTATCAGGCCTGTTTCGGCCTTTGGGCCCATTTTGGCCCATTCAGCCCGTTAGGGTGGGGAGCCTCCTTTCCCCCTATTCCCTATAAATAGGAGGTTTCCCTCCATGTAAAAGGATCCCTTTTTAGCTCTCCCTCCTCCTTCTTTTAGACTTAGCTCAAATACTCCATTAATGGGAGCTTGTACAATGTAATGGTGAGGAGAGTCCTAATGAGAAAGAGAGGGCTTGGATATTAGCCTAAAAAGTCCCGTGATTTTCTCCCTTTCGGGTTTCCACGTAAAAACTGAGTTGTTCATACACATCTATACATATATTTACTATATTGTGTTGGATTAAACTCAACACTGGCGCCGTCTGTGGGAATCAGTTCGAAAAGTTTAGCGTGTTCTTGATTTTTCTACGAAAAATCTGAGACGGGAGAACTGATTTTCAACAAAAAAAAAAATTGATACGAAAAAGCTACTGATTTGAAGAAAAAGAAAGGAGGCTGGAAACGCCCAGATCTGAAAAGAATCGGAAGAAGCCACCAGAGCCTAACCAGCCCGGCGGCGACGCTGCACCGAGCCGGAGGTGGAGTACGAACTCCGGCCTGCCTCAAATTTCATCACCCTAGTTGCGGCTCTTTCATCAGGCCGGAGCACCGGCGAGCGTCGTAGCAGTGGACTCATCCACCTCGCCGGTTAGTATGGCTTTTCTCTGCTTCCGTTGCAGCTCAACCTCGAGCCAGGGGTGTTTCCGCCATTAATGGCGGTTGGGAGCTTAGAATAGTGTGTATCTCGAAGTCCAGCTGATTTTCCACCGGAGACAAGCTTTTCGGGCCGCCCTTGCTCCGATGCAGCAGCCATCTCCACCGTCGCTGAGCTGCACATACTAACCGCTCTGGGTCGGTGAGCTTGTAAGCAGATCCTTCAACAATCTATCCAAAATATACGGAGCACTACGTGCCAGTCAAATACCTTGGTTCTCATAAGGCCACGTTCGAAGGATGAATGGTAGCAAACGAGTAAAGCTGGAGTACTTTTGACCAAAGTCAAAAGTTGGCAAGGCTGACTCCACAAATCCTGATGGCCGAAGCTCCCATCTCCAAGGAGCTAAGTACCTATAACTTCTAAATTGGTACATTAATTATTAAATGTTTAAAATGTTACAAGCATGGCTGCTATTATTCTTTATCACCATTATTTATTAGGGGATAAATGTCCCGAATTAAATAATGCGGAGCGAGGCTCTAGTGATAGTTAGTTCGGCCAATATTTTATTGAATATTTAATTTTTTGTGGAGCCTGTTGGCCCACTCTCCATCAGCTTGATTAAGTGATCCGAGCGTCCCCGGAAGGGCGATGCCCCGACGACGCATTTTAATTTGAGGGGTGCGCATTAGTCTGCATGGCACTACGTGCCCGATCGACGATCATACCCCAATGTAATCCACGCCGCTAGGCGCGAAGTCACTATTGCCAAACGTGGCCTATGGGGCCCGAGGGCACCAAAGCACTCAACCTCGTTTTTCCGAGGGCAGTGCGACTAACTTGGGTCTGAGTTGAAAACTCACAGACCGGTGAATATCTCTATGTGACGTTCGGCGGGCTGCTAATTGGCCCCGCCGCGAGCTGCTACGTCCATTACCCCCGCACGATGAGCCAGGACGAGGGTCACGATAACCCATAGGCCGGTAATCGTAGGTGTTAGAGAGAAAGCCACGCAGATGGTTATGTGTGCATATTTATTGTCGGGCCGTGCGGCCCGTTGCCATGCTTATTGCGCAGCTGAAGCCACTCGACGCGCTTGAGCGAAATGATTAGAAGACGCTCGGCCCGAGTCTTGAAGACGTGCAGGGCCGGCTAAAGAGGAGACCATCACGGCTGAGGACCGTGAGACGAGCATCTCCACCTAGAGGCCGAGGGCCTAGAGGAAACCACCACGGTTGAGAACCGTGGGACGAGCATCTCCACCCCAGAGACCGATGGCCTAGGAAGAACACCTAGAGGCCGAGGGTCTAGAGGGAACTGCCACGGCGAAGAACCGTGAGACGATCATCCATCATCCAGAGGCCGAGGGCCAAGAGGAAACCATCACGGCTGAGAGCCGTGATACGAGCATCTCCACACCAGGAGCCGGTGGCCTAGAGGAGACCACTACGGCCGAGGGTCGTGGGACCATCCTTACATCACGACCGACCTCACGGTACGACGTGTTTATCACCTGAAGACCGGCCTCGTCCCCGCGATGCGCGGATGAGGACCGTTGCTTGATTTCAGATCGGTCTCTCGTTGCCGACATCATTATATCACGACCGGCCTCTCGGCACGGCGTATTTATCTTTTGAAGACCGGCCTTGTCCCCGCACTACGCGGATGAGGACCGTTGCTTGGATTTCAGGTCGGCCTATCATTGCCGACATCATTATATCACGACCAACCTCTCGGCACGGCGTGATTATCTTATTTGAAGACCGGCCTTGTCCCCGCACTGCGTGGATGAGGACCGTTGCTTGGATTTCAGGTCGGCCTATCATTGCCGACATCATTATATCACGACCGGCCTCTCGGCACGGCGTGATTATCTTATTTGAAGACCGGCCTCGTCCCCGCGATGCGCGGATGAGGACCGTTGCTTGATTTCAGATCGGTCTCCCGTTGCCGACATCATTATATCACGACCGGCCTCTCGGCACGGCGTATTTATCTTTTGAAGACCGGCCTTGTCCCCGCACTGCGCGGATGAGGACCGTTGCTTGGATTTCAGGTCGGCCTATCATTGCCGACATCATTATATCACGACCGCCCTCTCGGCACGGCGTGATTATCTTATTTGAAGACCGGCCTCGTCCCCGCGATGCGCGGATGAGGACCGTTGCTTGATTTCAGATCGGTCTCCCGTTGCCGACATCATTATATCATGACCGGCCTCTCGGCTCGGCGTGTTTATCTTTTGAAGACCGGCCTCATCCCCGCACTGCGCGGATGAGAGCCGTTGCTGGATTGCAGGTCGGCCCCTCAGTGCCGACACTATCACATCATGTTCGGCCTCTCATCGCCGACATCATCATACCACGACCGGCCCCTCGGCTCGGCGTGCTTATCTTTTGAAGACCGGCCTCGTCCCCGCCACATCGCGGACGAGGACCGTTGTTTGATTCTTTCAGGTCGACCTCTCACTGCCGACACTATCATGTTATGTTCGGCCTCTCGGCACGACATATTTATCTTTTGAAGACCGGTTTCATCCCCGCGCTGCGTGGATGAGAGCCGTCGCTTGGATATATCAGCCTGATCGGACACTATTGTCATCTCCTTATCAGGACCGACTGCTCAGCGGCATTATGATCATTATTTGTCGGCTCCCAATGCCGACCCTCTTGAGTTTGCGATCGGGCTCACGACTCCCCTCCAGGAGGGTGACCATCGCCTTCGCATGATGACCAGCTATTCTATCGCCTCGTCATTATGTTGTTCGCTATGCCACCACCATTATGTGTGACATCCCGTGATCCCTGCGAGTTTCTTGGATACCGAATGTCTTCTTCGATGTAGGAAGATCGGTAGGACCATGGACCAGGGACGGACAAAGAAGAGCTAGGGAATCTCGATGTAGATAAACCTGTTCCTCCTTGTGAGTTTCGCGGATACCGAACGTCTCTTCGAAGCAAGAGCGCCGGTAGGACCAAGAACCAAGGACGAACGAAGAATATAGATTGCCTCCCTCAAACAAAAAAAAAAAAAAAAAGAGATGGGGAGAAGAGGAGGGTAGCTCCTATGTGGAAGGGAATCTTGCCCGGGCGTGCCAGATCTTCTCCCACCGCCGAAGACGAACGCCTCTCGATGTAGAGGTTAGTAGAGACGCGGAGGGGGCTAGACGAACCAAGGGAGCTTTGCCAAGATAAACCTGTTTATCCCACAATGACCATGGATCGATGGACGTGGGATAACAAAGTCGGGAACCCGTGAGGGTAAACCAGTTCGTCCCTGCGAGTTCCTTGGGTACCGAACGTCTTCTTCGAAGCAAGAGACGCCGGTAAGACTAAAAGGACCACGGACGAACAAAAAAAGGGGGAATCTCGATGTAGATAAACCTGTTCCTCCTTGCGAGTTTCGAGAATACCGGACGTCTCTTCGAAGTAAGGACGCTGGTAGGACCAAGAACCAAGGACGAACGAAGACTAAAAGACTCCAAAAAAAAAAAAAAAAAAAAAAGAAAGAAAGATGCCAGAAGAGCACGGAGCAAAGAATGATTTTATCCCTCAGCGCTATTGGCCGGGAAGTACAAACTGGAAAACATATGTAAAGAATAATTACAAAACTTAAGTACGAAGAATGAAGTGGCCGACGACGATCGGCTAACATCAGGCTTTCTTTTGCCTCGAACGACGATTAGCCCCCCAGATCAGGTAGAAGGGACATCGCCCAGATTTATTTCAGGCTCACCATTCCTTCCCGGATGGAGTCCTGGCAGACGATCGGCTTCTCACAGCCAAACAGGAGAGAGACTTGACACATCACCAGCACGGCCGAGGGCCGTGAGACGATTACCACTCACCGACAGGCCGAGGGCCATGAGATGATCATCACTATTTTTCTGTATCACGATCGGCCCCTCAGCGCCATCGTGTCCAGACTCACGGTTCGTCTTGCCCATTCCCTCCAGGATGGGGACGACCGTCTTATGCAGTACGATCGGCCCCTCAGCGCCATCGTACCTGGCCTCACGTTCGGATCGCCCCATTCCCTCCAGGATGGCGACGAACGTCTTATGCAGTACGATCGGCCCCTCAGCGCCATTGTACCTGGCATCACGTTCGGATCGCCCCATTCCCTCCAGGATGGCGACGAACGTCTTATGCAGTGCGATCGGCCCCTCAGCGCCATCGTACCTGATTTCACGGTTCGGCTCGCCCATTCCTTCCAGGATGGCGACGACCGTCTTATACAGCACGATCGGCTTCTCAGCGCCATCGTGTCTCTTTCACGTTCGGATCGCCCCATTCCCTCCAGGATGGCGACGAACGTCTTATGCAGTGCGATCGGCCCCTCAGCGCCATCGTACCTGATTTCACGGTTCGGCTCGCCCATTCCTTCCAGGATGGCGACGACCGTCTTATACAGCACGATCGGCTTCTCAGCGCCATCGTGTCTCTTTCACGTTCGGATCGCCCCATTCCCTCCAGGATGGCGACGAACGTCTTATGCAGTGCGATCGGCCCCTCAGCGCCATCGTACCCGATTTCACGGTTCGGCTCGCCCATTCCTTCCAGGATGGCGACGACCGTCTTATACAGCACGATCGGCTTCTCAGCGCCATCGTGTCTCTTTCACGTTCGGATCGCCCCATTCCCTCCAGGATGGCGACGAACGTCTTATGCAGTGCGATCGGCCCCTCAGCGCCATCGTACCTGATTTCACGGTTCGGCTCGCCCATTCCTTCCAGGATGGCGACGACCGTCTTATACAGCACGATCGGCTTCTCAGCGCCATCGTGTCTCTTTCAGGTTCGGATCGCCCCATTCCCTTCCAGGATGGCGACGAACGTCTTATGCAGTGCGATCGGCCCCTCAGCGCCATCGTACTAGATCTCACGGTTCGGCTCGCCCATTCCCTCCAGGATGGCGACGACCGTCTTATGCAGCACGATCGGCTTCTCAGCGCCATCGTGTCTCTTTCACGTTCGGATCGCCCCATTCCCTCCAGGATGGCGACGAACGTCTTATGCAGTGCGATCGGCCCCTCAGCGCCATCGTACATGATTTCACGGTTCGGCTCGCCCATTCCTTCCAGGATGGCGACGACCGTCTTATACAGCACGATCGGCTTCTCAGCGCCATCGTGTCTCTTTCAGGTTCGGATCGCCCCATTCCCTTCCAGGATGGCGACGAACGTCTTATGCAGTGCGATCGGCCCCTCAGCGCCATCGTACTAGATCTCACGGTTCGGCTCGCCCATTCCCTCCAGGATGGCGACGACCGTCTTATGCAGCACGATCGGCTTCTCAGCGCCATCGTGTCTCTTTCACGTTCGGATCGCCCCATTCCCTCCAGGATGGCGACGAACGTCTTATGCAGTGCGATCGGCCCCCTCAGCGCCATCGTACCTGATTTCACGGTTCGGCTCGCCCATTCCTTTCAGGATGGCGACGAACGTCTCATTTGCAGCACGATCAGCGCTTCAGCGCCATCGTGTCTGGCTCACGTTAGGGTCGCCCATCCCTTTCAGGATGGCGACGAACGTCTCTTATGCAGCACGATCAGCGCTTCAGCGCCATCGTGTCTGGCTCACGTTAGGGTCGCCCATCCCTTTCAGGATGGCGACGAACGTCTCTTATGCAGCACGATCAGCGCCCCAGCGCCATCGTGTCTGGCTCACGTTAGGGTCGCCCATCCCTTTCAGGATGGCGACGAACGTCTCTTATGCAGCACGATCAGCGCTTCAGCGCCATCGTGTCTGGCTCACGTTAGGGTCGCCCATCCCTTTCAGGATGGCGACGAACGTCTCTTATGCAGCACGATCAGCGCTTCAGCGCCATCGTGTCTGGCTCACGTTAGGGTCGCCCATCCCTTTCAGGATGGCGACGAACGTCTCTTATGCAGCACGATCAGCGCTTCAGCGCCATCGTGTCTGGCTCACGTTAGGGTCGCCCATCCCTTTCAGGATGGCGACGAACGTCTCTTATGCAGCACGATCAGCGCTTCAGCGCCATCGTGTCTGGCTCACGTTAGGGTCGCCCATCCCTTTCAGGATGGCGACGAACGTCTCTTATGCAGCACGATCAGCGCCCCAGCGCCATCGTGTCTGGCTCACGTTAGGGTCGCCCATCCCTTTCAGGATGGCGACTAACGTCTCTTATGCAGCACGATCAGCGCCCCAGCGCCATCGTGTCTGGCTCACGTTAGGGTCGCCCATCCCTTTCAGGATGGCGACAAACGTCTCTTATGCAGCACGTCTTCCTCTCGGCGCTGACATGCTCGAGTTCTCATTGAGAGCTACCGCTCCTATCACATCTTGCATTCCCTCTTTCATACATTGCACCATACATTACATGCATTCATGCATCATACCTCATACATTCATACATACACACGTGCATCATGTTTTGACAGTACCGCGACGTCGGTTTATAGATGCATGGACCTCTAAGCTTCTCCGTTGGAAAGCTCGAGTCAGGGTCCTTTACTCTCGCCTGATGCATTCAGGGGGAGCGTGCCCGTGGAGGAGCACCCTTCGCCCAACCCCGTCGGGAACGGGGGTGCCCCACCGGCAGATTACGTTCAGGAGTGTGGACATCCACTCATATATTATGATTATTCGAAGACACAGGTTCCAGCTAGACCGAGGTAAAGCGCAGGCAAGAGTATATTTTCTCGAGCAGATTCGCACGCTCACTACTCAAGAAACTGGGGGACTTGTGTTGGGATATATTATCCCGGCCTATTACTGTTCAGGAGCCCAAGACTTTACGTAGTACGGAGCCCAATCAGTAAGGCCCATTTTAGCCTATCAGGCCTGTTTCGGCCTTTGGGCCCATTTTGGCCCATTCGGCCCGTTAGGGTGGGGAGCCTCCTTTCCCCCTATTCCCTATAAATAGGAGGTTTCCCTCCATGTAAAAGGATCCCTTTTTAGCTCTCCCTCCTCCTTCTTTTAGACTTAGCTCAAATACTCCATTAATGGGAGCTTGTACAATGTAATGGTGAGGAGAGTCCTAATGAGAAAGAGAGGACTTGGATATTAGCCTAAAAAGTCCCGTGGTTTTCTCCCTTTCGGATTTCCACGTAAAAACTGAGTTGTTCATACACATCTATACATATATTTACTATATTGTGTTGGATTAAACTCAACAAGACACGAGACCACAAATCATGATACTCAAACGCAGATTCTAATACTCAATAACGGGGATTTGATGCTCGCCGAAAATAGAGGAGTTTTGATGTTGAATGAAAATGTTGTGATGTTCAACTAGCAAAGCAACTAACAAATTCATTAATACTCATGTTGTAAGTTACATATGCTCATCTGATATTGATCTTATGCTCATTTTCTAAATGTCATATCAGTGCATTTTTAAAAGTATTATTTTATTATAGACTCTTAATACTCAACATAATAGGTTCGATGCTCATTAAAAGTTCATTAATGCTCATTCACAAGAAACTATGATTTTCATCTCAATAGCAGATGTTTGATGCTCAATTAAAATGTCGTGATGTTCAACTAACAAACCTTACGATAAAAAATAACAAAAAGAAAGTGAATTACAAATTATGCAGCAAAGATCACGATTCTGAATATTAGACTTCTAATACTCAACAGAGTAGGTTGGTTGCTCATTAAAGGTTCAATATTACTCATTCTCCAGAAGTCGTGACTTTGATCTCAATAGTGGAGGTTTGATACTCAATTAAAATGTCATGATATTCAACTAACAAACTTTACGATTTTCATATCAATGTGTCATTTCTAAGTTATGTATGCTCATTTGATACTGATGATATGCTCATTTTTTAAATGTCATATCAATGCATGTTTCAAAAGTATCGTATTACATTAGAATCGCATATTTAAATTAATAGGAGTAGATAATAGATATAATTTAATTAGTTTTTTATAAAAGAAAATAATAGAAAAAGAAAAAATAGAAGATATGAAGCAGAAATTGTTATACTCATTGTTAACCTCTTAATGCTCAATCAAATAGGCTAGATGCTCACAAAAATTACAATATTGCTCATTTAGCGTAAGACGTGATTTTTCACTTAAATTACAAAAGTGTCACCGAAAAAAAATGGTCTTTACTGCTTATTGGGTTGTCTTCCTAATTGGGCCGGATGTATATACATCTGGTTGTACCATATAGGCTCTCGAGTTCCGAGAGGCTGTACTTCATGCTTCATTTGTTTCAAAATGACACATATATTATATGTAGTACTTTTTCGTGATTGAATACCGGAAGTGATGTCTCGAGTATCGACTACTTTGTTTAGAGATCGAAAGTTACATCATGTATGGTCAAAACTTATGTGTTTCTAAAAATATGATTTAAATCCGTTTCCTCATATGATGTCACACAACATGTATTCATACCATTCCGATTCCATTTTTCTTACGGGGTATTTCATTCAATACATGGCCTAGTCATATGTTGGGAAAGAATCATGCATAGTCAGTCATATATTTCCTCCCTTTATATAAGATCATTTTTTAGAAAATAATAACTTTAATGTATACGAGTTAAATAAATATTTTATTCAGTTATAGGAAATTATCACATACGGAGTATGTCATAGTAGTTTATCAAAAAGTTTATTAAGCTCCAACTAAAAACATTCGATTGAGTCCCGATCCTTAAAAAACACCCAAATGTATAATTTAGTGTTGTTGTGAAATGAAAAGATGAAGACTAAATTTAAGAGATAGATATAGATAAAACCTCTAAATTACTTCTTCTTAATATCTGAGATTTTCTGAGCATCTGAATTAATTTACAAGGCTTCATCAAGCTCCTATTTATAGTGGTTGATCTTGATGATTAGTCATCTAAAGGATGACTCTACAAATTTGGTGGCAATAACAAACAGAGCCATCTGTTCTAACTAGGTTACAAGGATTGACACTAGATTAGTGTCCTGATTACAAGGATTGAAATTTGATGACTAGGCTCATTACAAGGATGAATAATTCACACATGTAATTCCCATGATTTTACAACACTCCCCCTTGAATGTTCATCCTTGAGAATAGCTATTTGTATTTAAAAATTTATTGTGAAGATTAGTGTGAAATTTAAGGGGTAAAAATTTTGACTTATAATGTCATTGTATTTGGATGTACTGTCTCGTTAAAAACCTTATCAGGAAAAACCCAGTGGGATAAAAACCTGATGAAGGAAAAAAGAGTGCAGTGCATTCAAATACTCCCCCTGAATTTAGCATAAATTATGAAGGCGGCACATGCCGATTTTCTGTACAAGTTCTATGAACTTCTTCGGGGGTAAAGATTTGGTGAAGAGATCGGCCGGATTTTCACTCGATCTGATTTGTTGAATGTTGATTGTCCATTCTTTCTCCAGATCATGAGTAGAGAAGAATTTTGGTGATATGTGCTTTGTTCTGTCTCCTTTGATGTAGCCTTCTTTAATCTGAGCTATGCAAGCAGTGTTGTCTTCGTAGATCACAGTCGGGTGACAAGTAATAGGCTTCATACCGCATTCATTTTGAATGTGTTGAATTATAGATCGCAGCCATACACATTCTCTTCCGGTTTCATATAGTGCAATTAACTCCGAATGATTTGATGATGTAGCTGTCAATGTCTGTTTCATAGATCTCCACGAGATTGCGGTATTACCATAAGTAAATACGTACCCGGTTTGTGATTTTGCCTTTTGAGGATCTGATAAGTATCCGACATCTGCATATCCGATTAAAGAAGCTGTAGCATCTTTGGGGTAGAATAGGCCGAGATCAACTGTACCGCGGAGATAACGGAATATGTGCTTGATCCCGTTCCAATGACGCCTTGTTGGGCATGAGCTGTACCTAGCTAATAAATTTACAGAAAATGCAATATCTGGTCTAGTATTATTAGCTAAATACATTAAAGCTCCAATAGCACTCAGATATGGTACTTCGGGACCGAGTATTTCTTCGTCGTCTTCTCGGGGACGGAATGGATCATCGTGTATGTTGAGAGATCGAATGACCATTGGTGAAGTCAAAGGATGAGCTTTGTCCATATAGAATCTCTTCAACACTTTCTCGGTGTAATTGGATTGGTGGATGAAAATTCCATTCTTCAAATGCTCAATTTGAAGCCCGAGACAAAATTTGGTTCTCCCGAGATCTTTCATTTCAAATTCTTTCATAAGATACTAGTTTTTAACCCGTGCGTTGCACGGGAAAACATTTCATCGAGAATGTAAAGATCTGAATTGAATGATAATAGAAATATAATTTAAACATTCGAAGCATAAGTGAAATGACATATGGAAAAACCTATAAATTGTTATACACTTCTTTGTAAACAACATTTATAGCAGTATTGCTTGGTTGACCATCATCGTCACATATGACAAATTTTAACCCTGATGGACTTGTAACTCTCGATACCGCAACGTATAATTGTCCGTGAGTAAAAACCGGACGCCGCAAAAATACACCAACTCTTTCTAACGACTGTCCCTGACTCTTATTAATCGTCATCGCATAACTAAGCATAAGAGGAAATTGCCTGCGCTGAAACGTGAAAGGGAGCTTCAAGTCCGAAGGCGTTAAACTAAGTCGGGGAATAAGATACGTTTCTCCAGCATTTGATCCTGACATCATCTGAGTCTCAATAATATGAGTCCCGAGTTTAGTTACCATGAGTCGCGTACCATTGCATAACCCAACAGTGTGATCTATGTTTCTCATAAGCATCACAGGCACACCCACCTTAAGCTTGAGTTCATGACTTGGCACACCAGAACATTTGATGCTATTAAGAAATTCCGGGGAATGAATGTCCTGAAGGAGCTCGCTATCTGAGTCAGAGGAAGATGCTGAATCACAACTTAAGTATGTCATTTCCTCGCCTGGAATGAGCCCCAACATGTAATCATTGATCTTGTCTCTCTCATCAATCGTAGGCGCAAGAATGGCCCTAGAGTTCAGATATGATATGTCTTCCCTATGAGTCAAGAAATCTGGATACGTACTATTAACAATAGACTCAATGGGATCATCCGTCATCGGAGCAAGAAATTCGGCAGGTATGTGGACTTTAGATTCCCCATCCTCATCGTCTCCCAAAATACCATCGCCTATCTTCAAAATCCAATCTGCGAAGCGCTCTATGTCAGTTGCGCTGGATGATTCGGTCACGTGTGCAAGCCTCATGTTCCTTGTCAGCTTCAACACCCTACAATATGACCACAAATACGATGAATTTAAAGACGCTTGTACAATATCTTGCCGCGTGCCTTTTGGAATGACCGGCAATATCTGTCGAAAGTCCCCGCCAAATACAATAGTTTTCCCACCAAAAGGCACGGCACCATCACACTCCGGTGAGAAGCAAAGGACATCTCTCATTGTGCGCTCTAGAGCTTCAAAACAGTGCTTATGCGTCATTGGAGACTCATCCCAAATAATTAGTCGTGTCTGTTCAAGAAGCCTGGCCAAGGGACTACCGTGTTTTATGTTGCACGTCGAGTCCTCCGTCACATTAAGTGGAATAGCAAACCTCGAGTGTGCGGTCCTTCCTCCAGGAAGAAGGAGTGACGCAATACTGCTGGATGCCACATTCAATACTATTTCTCCTCGTGATCTAATTGCCGCAGACAAAGTCCTCCACAAATAAGTCTTTCCCGTGCCACCATGTCCATATAAGAAAAACACACCGCCACATTTGCGGTCGACAGATTCCATGATTATTTCGTAAACAGCTCGTTGTTCATCTGTCATATCCTTCAACAACTTTTGATGTTCTTCAGCCATCACACACTTATCGTACTTCAATTCTTCATGAATGAGAATGTCCTCCATGGAGGGGATATAAGAATCGGGGGGCACTGGCATTCCGACGTAGTCACGCAGTGATTTTCCTCTTTGCTGGAGAAGCTTCTCAATCTCCACTAAACAGTACTTCTGAATTTCTCCTTTGTCTAGTTCCAACTCTTCAGAAGATATGACACACGTATTTCAATGTAATTATGAGTCAAAGAATATGAATTAGAAATAATTGTTAACCACAAAAGAACATTAAATTATTACGACTAATATAAACGTGTACCTTGATCATGAAGGTTCTTCCTCACATTGTATAATATGTCTTCCGACAAATACTCCCAACACTTTTCCCACACCGATTCAGGCTTAGTCATCGATCCCTGCAGTAAAAGAGTAACAAACAAATGGCGTAGCCATCGAGCCATTGCTGAATGACTTGACTCTGTAATGCCATCTATGTACTCCTTGTCATCTCCCTGTAACCCGCGAGCATAACAGGCATCCCTAAATGTGTCATATATCTTTCCATCCACGGTTCGCAACTCTTCAAAACTTCTTGGCCCTTTTACTACATTCAGCAGAACTCGCAAATAGTACTTCTCACCTGCTCCGGGACGCACAAAGAACACACGCCCAACCGCAAACCCCTTTTTCCGCGGTGACCACTCCCTTTTCTTTTTGTTCCACGTGAACTTAGATGGAAAGTCAACGTATGTCAACTCCCTGGCCTCCTGATAAAGTTGGTTTGCTCTCATCCAAGCTATAAACTTCGTAGAGTGAAGAGTGGTGTTACTTAGTACTGACTCAATGGATGCATCAGGTTTGTAGTATACATTTTGCTCTCCTGGTAAATGAAAGCTTAACCGCTCAACGGGAACATCCCTGTAATGGATATGGTATGAAAAAAAGTCTCCATGCAGCCTCACAAGCGGAGATGTATCGACAGTCATAGTACATCTTGATCTCATCGATCTTTTGTGGTTTGGTGCTGTCAGTAGCTTCTGAAAATGCAACAGTTATCCGATCATCGCCTTTATTTATATACTTGAAAAGATACTTGACTGACCGTGATTGATTACACCACTCCACATTGATGTGTGCTCCATACTTGAGAAGCAAAGTACGATTATGTGGGATCACATATCTATTGTCCATAGGATGACCATTTTTCTCAACAGACCTTCCATTGTTTCTCCTCCTGTATTTTGGGTAACCACTCTTATCAATGGTTGTCCGTTGGGAGAATTTTTTAGGAAAATGCTTCGTGCAATGCCCTTTATCCATACACGGTGAAGACATGTTCATCTGCCCACATGGCCCATGAATCATCAATTCTTTGACTGCATTATAGTAAGCGGGATCAGAGTTTTCATCAGGTATCTCTGCAGATATTATTCTGTCTATATCTGCGGAAAATACATTCCTCTGCCTTTGTGAAATCCATAGAACGATATGAGCATGAGGCAATCCACGTTTTTGAAACTCTACGGTGTACACAACTGCAAATATTAAAGTAATTCTAACATTAAATAATGTTGTATTTGCATGTGGTAAAAAAAACTATATAATGAAACAAAGAAAGGATTTCCAAGATGAAAATTTGTGAAAAACATTAATTACCTGCCCGCACGTTGCCAAACATCTTATTTTGTTTCAAATCCTTGATGAGTAGATCGAGTTTCATTTTGAATATCCTAGAAAGTATATCAGGTCTATCATCAGGACTCAGTCCTCTTGGTTCCACAAAACGGAGAATTTCAGGCCATTTTGGGTTACATGTGAATGTAATAAACAGTTGTGGATATCCAGCCCATCTGCATATAGCCATAGCATCTTGATAATTCTGCAGCATGTAACGTGCACTCCCAGTAAATGAATTCGGAAGAACAATGAGTTGACCTGTCCTTGATGCATTTGTCTCCCCTCGTCCAACAGCATCTGCCAATCCACTATACAGATCACTCCGTAGCTCCTTTTGATGTTTTCTAATATACTGCAAGCGGCATGACTCAATCATCGTATAACCGTCAACCACAAGTTGTTGGAACAATCTCTTTGTTCGCAATATATATGGGGTCTCAACCATGCGATCCTGAAATCTATATGAAAAGTACTCTCTCATAGTAACATACTTTCTCCCTCCAGTGTTCCCTTCAGTGTTCCCTTCAGTGTTTCCTTCAGTGTTTCCTTCAGTGTTCTCTTCAGTGTTCCCTTCAGTGATCCCTTCGGTTGCACGGGTCAACAACACATTTTCTCTAAAACCGTCCTGGCCATAAGGAAAGAGAAGTGGATACTGCAACCCTAGATAAGCTGGATTTAATTCAGAGATGTACTGTAAAGAACCAGACTTCGTTTGAAGAACAACATCCCTCTCTTTTTTGTTCACATCAAAGTCTCCCTCTATTAAGGCAGCTACTTCGCTTACAGTGGGGGTATTGTACGTACGACCTTCTGAATTCCTCTTGCCTATTAACTTCATTTTCAATGAAGTCGAATTAGATTCATTGAATCTATCCCTCGCCATCCTAAAAGACTGTGCATAAACATTGTATGTGTCCAACATGGCTTTCAGTTCAGCCACCAATGTATCATGTAATGATGTACCACCGTCACGCCTATAACATGCAAGTGAAAGCTAATTAGGAAATGGCGTGTAAGAAAAATACAACACAAGTCAACGTTAATGATATGTGGTTTGCTTAAAAATAAACCATAACTGTGTAACCACTAACCTGACAGATGCAATTCTAAATGAGATCTCTTCATTTGGGTCAGATAAGTACATCTGCAAGAATTTTGGCTGATTCCCATCAGTAGGGAGAAGGCTGCCAATTCTATGGTAATTTTGCCCATTCAATCTGAATATTGGTGGATTGTTCCCTCTATTCACATCATGGTCAACTTTTCCACCCATGGAAGTGAAGGAAAACATAGAATTATATGACCTGATGTTTTCAAGGAAATGTCTGCTGCGTTCATCATTCCCAAAAATCAGATCATACAACAAATTTGGTGGTTTTTGCATCTTAGGAAGTACAACGTTCCCTTTATTGCAACACATGGAGAACTTGGGTCGCTGTTTGACTGAACTTCTCTTTACTCTTTCAGCATGCCAAAAAAGTGCTCTGCAGTACTCGCACTCGTAAATAGCATCATGTAGATCTACATAATCTGAAAAAGATAATGATGTTAATTTTATATGATAATAATTACGCATTACAGGGTTATGTATATAAGAATATGATATGCTAATACTATATGCACACACCTTCTGTCGAACATATTGCATATTCTGCATCCTCCTCTGCAAGAATCGGTAGTAATTAGACTTAACATAAGTAAGAGTTAATACTTAAGAATGTAAAGAGATACGAAATTACAAACAAAAAAATATGACACAAATATTCACCATCAACAGGTAGTCCATCATCATCGGACTGTCCATCCAATGCATTCTCTAAATGGTCACCTGTGAAAATGGCATTTATGTATCAATATTGGTAAATAAGTGTTTTAGGTGATTAGTAAATAATTGCTTGCCTTCATTGCGATTGCTGCACTCAAATCTTGATATGTCCTTCATGCGAGCTGAGTTTTGAATGCGTCCTTCAAACATGTTCGACTCAAATAAAACGTAGTCATCTTCAGGTAATAGGGACATTCCAAAACGCCATTTGCCTGTACTTGTTGGGCGTACACTTGTAGTGCTATTATTTGCTATGGCTATTTTTGAAATGTTTAAGGAGAGGATTAGATCATATTTATGGTAATACGAAAATGTGATTGGATAAAATGTTACCATTTGTGATATCCTGTAATGGATTTCTTTTTGAGTTTGAAGAAGATGGAGTGTTCCTTTGAAGATTTGTGTGATTCTCAGAGTGGTTTAAACACCCGACAACCTTCTCATGAGTACCTTCTCCATCATGCGTTTCATTTGTCGTTGGACTTACATATTCGTATGAAGACCGTGGTCTTTTGCCCAGTATGATGGTTGATTTTGTCAACTTCTTCATCTAGAAGAAGACCTATATAATTCATATTTAATTTAACTAAGAATTTAAGATAAAAACTCTTAACATAACGTACAAACCTTAAATTATTTGTTATGTATCTATTTTGCAGCATTTTATTATACTACATCCGCCCCAAAATATACTTAGCCAAATTCAAAACTTTAACCAATTATATATATTTATTTAAAATTGTTTATAATATAAAAATGATATGAAAATGTACTTTGTTAAAAGTACTTTCATAAGAGTATATACTACGTATTTTATAATTTTCATAATATTATACTAATAAGAATTATGATCCAAAAGTATAACTTTCATAATTTTATACTAATATTAAAAGTACTTTCATAGGACGGAGGTATTATATACCTCCATTTTAATTATAGTTATCCATTTTGACTACATTTTATTTAAAAATGCATTAAAAATTATATTTTAAAAATATAATGAAGTTTTGCCTTCATTATATTTTCATTGTAAAAATCATATTTTTTAAAAAAATTACAATTACGAAAATTAAATTAAATATATTAATGGTCAAAGGTATGCATTAGGAATTACAATATTGAGAATGCTAAAATTTACTACTACAATAAATTAAACATATTTAAGGAAATAACGGATAGGGAAAATTTATGAGCACATGAAGTTGACACGTGTGGTATATAGACTGTAAGTGTTTAATTTATGTGGTTGGGGTTGTACATGTTCATATAGTTGAAGTTTGCATGTATTCCATTTGTCTTACTCAATTATTAATAGATCCATATAGTAAAATAATATTTTAATATACTAACAAAACCATAGTTATTCATGATATACTACCTCCGTCCCAAAATATTTAGCCATATCCAAAACTTTTAACGATTATATATTTATTGGAAACTATTTATAATATAAAAATGATATGAATAATACTACGTAATTTTCATAAAACTCAAAGATTTACTTCTTTCATATATAGTATTATATTCATCAAAACCAAGGTCTACATTTTAAAATTTGACTAAATATTCTGAATATACTACTATATTCAACTTTGAAAATGGCAAAGTTTTTTGACAGAGGTAGTATATATTAAACGTGTTATATTTTTTAATATGTTAAGTTCTACGTGAATAACACACATATATATCCAAATGGAAGAATTAGAAGATAAATAAGGAGGTGGTGTGATAAATAAAGAGAGGATATGTGATATTAATATATAATTTTTTTAGAGGATATACAATAATATTTTGAGCTTTGCTTTATTAACAGTACACTAACACGTGAGTCATAACCACACATCTTAATATACGAATAACAAATGATTTTATTTGGCAACAGTTAGTACTTTGATTAAAAACTGCTAAAAGTAAAATTTTCCTTATATTAAAACTGTAAACCAAATCTGCCTTAATTAATTATAGAAATTCCCTTGATAAAAACCTGTCAGAATAAATAATACACAGATTAAAAACTAATAAGAATAAAATATAGGTAGTAGTTCATACCTAAGGTAATATAAAAATGCCTTAAATAACTTCTATGTATTGGTAATTAAGTACTTCCGTGCATTGATTACCTTAATACGTAGTATCATATAAATGTACACAAAACTGCCTTAAAGAAAAATTTGCCTAACACATATCTAATTTAAGGTGTGAATCAGCGTAATACTATAGAGAAATACTATGTTTCAAAATTCTTGATACCTAAGATATTTAGAAAACGCCTTAAATTAGAACTTCGTAAAAATATATTTACTCCAGGAGTACTCGTTTTCTATGACTGAACTAAAAGAATTGTTAGAAAGTTCCTTAAAGTAGAACTTAGTAAAACATTTAGTATAAATGAGACTAAATTTAAATTCAAGTGATTAATGTGAGACTAATCTAACATCGCCAAAAAAATGGAGGGCACTACTATACGTGTGTGTCATGTGTGGTATTTATGTTCAAGCAACCAATATTATTTGATTTTGCTTGAAATATAAAATATACGGAGTAGAAGTTTGTGAAAATAAATAATTTGTACAAATCATATACATATACACGCAAAGATTTAATCATAAGAACACCAATAAAATATACGTGCAGGTAATTATCAAATAGGTGTATGTGTAATTGTGTGCTTGAGAATTCCAACAACATAAAAAAGTAGCAAGTATAGACACCTGTTTTTTTAGTAGGCGGAGATGCAGCTCCTAGCAAAAAAATGTTGCTGACATTCACAACTTTAATGCAAAAATTGTGTTCATCCCGGTGGATAGAACTTGGGCAACTCCATTACGAATAGTAGTAGTGAGATTTTTTGGCTTTAACTTTAAAAGTGAGTTTTGTGTAACCATTCCAAACACTTAAATAGACATAGTAGATAGGGTGGAAAAAATGGGCTGAAATGGGCTTAGGTTAATTAACCAAACCTCAAATATTTCTATATTTTTATAGTAAATGGCCGGTACACAATGTACGTCTATAATATAGCATTTCCTTGTATTTGCGGCTGTTATGTAGTATCTTAGGTAATAGCTTGATTGTAGCTTGATTTTAGTCCTTACGTATATATACTAATAATGGCACTACAAATCCTCTCAACCATAAATGATACTACATGATAGAAAAAGTAGGAGATAAATAAGGAGAGGAAATGTGTATCTCTATAATAGCTTGATTTTGTAGTCCATACGTATAGACTAATAATGTTACTCCTACAAATCCTCTCAACCGTAAATAATATTAGAAAAGGTAGGAGATAAATAAGGAGAGGATATGTGCTAATAATATACAATAATATACAATATTTGGAGCTTTATTTACTAACACGTGAGTCTAATAATTCTTCCATATTATTAGGGGGAGGATTGTGTTCTGAAAAATATCAAGTACTTCATTTTTAAGTAGCAAAAAAATACCTAAATAATAAAATTTATATTCAAAATAGAAATGTCAATGACATTAATTAGTACGGATATTTTTTTTGGCACCAATTACTACCTTCATTCAACCTGCTATGTATAGAAGTCAATTCTTATAGGTGCCTATTAGATATTAGATTTTCTTATTGCAATTAAAAAAAAAAACAGTTTATGATAATCTTAAAAAAATTGGGCAACACTTACTACGGACATTAAAAACTACGGAGTACTATATGTAGAGGTCAATTATCATATGTGCCAAATAGATACTCCCTCCGTCCCATTAATTTTTTTCAACTTTCATTTTTGGACCGTCCCAAAAAAATTCTTCCAACTTTCACTTATTAAAAAATTGTGTGATTCACATTCATTTACCTTTTTTCTTACAGAACTACAATCATACATTTCTACTTTATTCTCACTCCCTTAATTAGCGAGCCAAGTCAAACTGGAAAGAATTTATTGGGACGGAGGAAGCATAAGATTTTGTTATTGCACTTAAAAAAATAAATTAGATAAGGTCTGATTATTAGACTCAAAACCAATTGACCAAATCTGACCAATTCGTTTTGAATGTTTTAAATAATAGCGATTATTATTTTTTGGCAACACTTACTACCTACATTATAAACTATTGTACAAAGAAGCCAGTTTTTATATGTGCATATTATATACTCCGTATAAGATTTGTTAGTGCAATTAATAAAAATCAATCAGATAAAGTATGGATTCAAAAACCAATTGCTCAGATCCGGTAATTATCTTATAAGTCTCGCTAAGATCTGAAGTATATTGCAAGAGTAAACCTATATGTGCATCCGTAAACTCTTATACGTGCCTAATAGGCTAATACAAAATACCACGGATTGCAAGTTTGCAACTCATTGGCCTGGTGGAATACTCACATTTGGAACTATGGGACATATTAAACACTTGGAAGTTTAAGTGTGGAACAACGTAAACTGCATGCTAGAAGCAGGAGGCCAAATGTGACATATGATATCTATGCAATATAACTATAAGACATATGGAATTATGGAAGATTACTCGATCAATTTAAAAACAACCTGCATAGAATGCATTTGTTGGAAATTTAACTAAAGCAGAACATGGCTCATGCTGCATTGCTGCAGCAGAAAGCAGGGAAAAAACAAAGCAACATAGCAGCTGTTTGGGAAAATAAACCAATGTAACAGTTGATTGTTGAAAAGCAGGAAAATTTCTAATTGAGATTCATATGATTATATCAGTAGCATAAAAGCAACATAGCAGCAAATTAATTAGGTTACACTTTAGAGGATCGAAATACAGAATCTTTTATATTTTTGCAAAATTAAAAGTGCTCTAAAGAAATGAACAGATTATGATTAACAGATTAGAATTGGGAAAAATAATGAAACCATTATCACACAATTTATTATATTAGAAGTACTTGAAAAATAAATAAATCAAAGCTTGTCCTCAACTGGGAGGAATTCCCTTAATCAAGGCCAACAAACGGCACAATCATAACTTTTAAAAACTGTGTTTAGGAGGAAATGCGAATGCAGAAGTACGAATAATCAAACAGAAAATAAAATCCAGTTTTCTAAATGAAGAACTTCAAAGTTTCTCTTTTTTGACCTCCTTCAGCTTCTTATTCTTATTTGTAGACCCCAGTGTTTTATCGTCTGAAATTTCTTTGCTACCATCTATATCCTCAGTTTTTCTCTTTGAGGATGAAGTTGGAGTGTGCCCTTGGTCATGCTCAGGTGATGTAGGTGTCTGAATGAAAACATAATAAATTTTGTATAAGAATTTATATAGATTTTGAATTTATATTTGTGTAGGCATAATCAGTTGTTATGAGTATGCAAACTTACCAAGTTGGATTCTACCGTAGTTCGAGGTTCAAGAATATAGTCAAGATCTGAATCAGAATTATATTCAGCCTGCGTCCACCCAGTTCAACACAATTATACATTTCATATTTGTTTGAACTTATGAATGTTACTCTGTATTATATATCTTCTACTAAAATTATACTTTATGATATTTAAGATTAACGAAGTACCTCTGGCTCTGGTTCATCTTTCCAGGATGACTTGATCTGTTCAATCTTTTCCTTATTGTCTGTTGTCATGCTTATGCAAAAGGCAGCACCGGGTCCATCTAAACTCGCGATGTCTCTCTCAATTTTGAATAAGTACTCCCGCCCAACCAAGTCGTAGAACAATGGAGGGGCACTGTGAGGTCTTAACTTGACCTGAGCGAAGAGAAACAAATACTTTAAGGTATTTATAGATACCTAAAACACATTGAGTTTTGACATAGGAAATCATAGCAGCCAAAGTGATACTTGTTATGAACATACATCATCCAGGTGTTCACGAAAATCGGACGCAGGTTTTCCCAAAAACTGCTTGCATGCTTGATCCCAGAATAGCAGCTCAGCCTTGTGACGACCGTGCACAACATTCAGCTTCAATTTGTAGAGCCAGTTTTCTTCAGAAGACCGCACTCCGCACTTCGTGCACTCAAACTCATTATCATACTTTATGACTCTTGCACGACATGACCTAAAGTGAATGGGGAGATCAACTTTAGTTTCAAAAAATATATTACCATGAAATCCTATTCTAAGATAAACCAAAGCTGTAATAAAAAACCTTTTGTTTAAATTGTAAAAGAAGGATCTAAATAGCTTAGTTGTTTTTTTATTAAAGCAAAGGCAACATCCTGTTAAGGTGTGCAAATAAATAAGTATGAATTCATTTATTTGAATTCCGGGGGGGGGGGGGGGGGGGGGGGTTGCGGTACAACATGCCAAACAAAAGTAAGCTATTTATTTAGAAATCTAAATATCTAAATAAATGTAATGATTAATTAAGAATCTACTTGTGACTAAATATGACTATATATTGGAGGCTATTACTAAATATGACCTTTTGAAGCATCCCATATAGGCCCAACCGGTAGCATTCAGAATAGCGTTTATCTTCCCATAAAACCACAACCCACGAACCTGTTCCAAGGGTACATTATTCACAAATGAAACTGATGAACATACCGTATAAGAATGGCAGAATTTGAAATTCAAAAATAAATTGAATGATTATATATACCTCCTTGGTAGTTTGTAGTTCAGACAACATCTTTACAATTCCAACTTCTTTATCATCACTTAATGCAGCTCGGGATGATGTTGAGCTCAAGGATTGTGATGAGCCCATAGCCAACATCCTTAGTAATTTCAATAAATGTCAATAGATTGAAATAATTGCTAAAAGTGTTATTTAAATTTGCTACATCCTGCACATTTATCATGGATATTATCAATATTATTAATACTCACACTTGTGAATTTTCTTCATGGTTCATGTATTTCGCTTTATGGTCTCTACTCTACAATACTTTGACATTAATCACCCTATATGCAAGGTTGGATCAGCATAATTGCATCTTTATTATACACATTGCCTTAGAGTAAAAAAAATTCAAAATAATTCCTACCGAGATTACAAACTACTTAGAGTAAAAGCTGCCATACACTAAAACTTTCTATGTAAATCCTTCCTTAATTAGGAAAGCAACAAATTAAGCAAACCAAGGAACTTAAATATGGAAATATGGAAAACCTTATATGAAAGAAGGTTTAAAAATCGTGTGTGTATCAAGGGGAGGATTGTGCCTTAAATTAAAACTGGGAAAAAATTCTACCTCAATTAATTATATATATGGCCTTGGATAAAAAAAAAATATGTCAAAATAATTACTACAGAGATAAAAACTGCTAAAAATAAAATATGCCTTAAATTATGTAAATAAGAAAGTTCACACCTATCATATTATAAAAAATGCCATAAATAAAAAAACTCAATAAAAATATATAAAACTGCCAAAAATAAAATTTCCTTAAATTACAACTGTAAACAAATTCTGCCTGAATTATACAAATGGCATTAAATAAAAAAACTCTGTCAAAATAATTACTACCGAGATTAAAAAATGCTAAAAAAATATGCATTAATTTATAACTAAATTAAAACTATCTAAGTAAATCCTCTCTAATTAGCAGACGGTAACTATTTAAGCAAACCAAGCAAAGTAAATAAGTAAAATCTTATATGAAGTCAGGTTTTAAAACCATTGATGAGTTGATGACAATACTAAGTTTAAAAGGTCATTACCAACTTACCAAGGTTGAAAACAAAAGTAAAGAGTGTTACAGTATTAGAAATGAGGATTAAGAAAGCTTCTGCTGAATAGATTGACAAAGCTTATTGAAGGCTGCCATGAAGATCGTTATCAATATTACCTCGTTCGAAAGTCTTCAATGTCAGGGATATTGACGTCAAGGAGAAGCTTTGAGGCATTATATGATGTTGAGACCCCCATCTGCTCACCTGAATTCAGTTTTCCAAAAGAAATATAAAAAGTATTAATTAATGTAATAATTCTTTGCGATAAATGGGTAGATGCAGGTGTATGTAGATTTGTCCTACCATAGCGTTTGTTGGTGCGTGACAACTGGATGATCATGATTACATATTCCGATGTTGTCCTTTTAGTGTGCTCTACGAATTGTTCGGAATACTCATTGTATAGCGTACAATGCAACCTCTTATCCCTATGCATGGTAAAATTAGAATACATAAATTATTTTGATGTTAATACATGAGAACATTATATAGTATAACAAAATTTGAAATAGTTTTATCACTTAACTCTAAATCACGAAGGTAAAAGTTACAATACTTTGTGGACGCTCCAGCTTCCGCCTTGAACATCTTATCACCGACCTTGAATGCACCAATAACATCTGGAAGTGGTCTCGAGATTACAATTATTATCACACATATTATAGTTACACAAATTATTAAATACATAGTACAAAATAACAGTGTTTAAGATTACCAAACAAATGAAGACAGACATCATCTCCTTCAGCAAAAATTTCTGAGAAGCTTTTTAACTTAAATGATAAGGATGACATAGTACTCTTTTCTTGACGCTTCACCTTGGTTTCCTCTTTGAAACACAGTCTATAACGGTGGGAGGATGGGCGATATTGTTCAACATTGGACCTCACAGTAAAGTACATCATTGCATACGTCTCACCTTCTTCTATTTGGGCTTCAAAGATGCGCAGCAGTTGTTGTCCTATAGTAGCTTGAATCCTATCACCCTATTTGACAATAAATTGGAGTCAATTAGAAGTTATACATTCTTGTAAAGAAATGAATTTTATTTACGTAACTGGAAATTATAATTGGACTTACTCAGATGTAAATTTTAATCAATAAAATAAGTGTAAATGTTATAAAAATTATGTCAACTTTAAATGCTCCTCCATTCTTCAAATGCTCAATTTGAAGCCCGAGACAAAATTTGGTTCTCCCGAGATCTTTCATTTCAAATTCTTTCATAAGATATTTTGCAGTATTTTCAATTTCATCGGGAGTTCCAATAATGTTTAAGTCATCAACATATACTGCAATTATGGCGAATCCCGAATTAGATCGCCGAATGAAAACACATGGACTAATCGGATCATTCTTATATCCTTCTTTGAGAAGGTATTCACTGAGACGATTATACCACATTCGTCCAGATTGTTTTAGTCCATACAATGACTTTTGTAATTTAATGGAAAACATGTCTCGAGGTTGAATCATTATTTGAGATGTTTGTTTTGTCAATATCATTTTCTATGCCAGTATTTTCAAATTGTTCATTTTCTTGTTCAGAAGGATGAACATCTTTGGCATCACAGATCAATTCCTGCCTTTTAGTCTTTCTTGGTTTTATGTCTTTTGATCCAAGTGGCCTGCCACGCTTTTTGCGTATAGAAGAATCGTTTGCGAGAGATTTTTCAGAATTCTCAGCTGGAATTTCAATTCTGACAGGGGCATTTACAGCAGGAATATGTGACTTTGTCACTTTCTTTGTGTCTGTGAATGCATCAGGCAATTGATTTGCAACATTTTGTAAATGGATTATCTTTTGCACCTCTTGCTCACATATATTTGATCTAGAATCAAGGTGTGATAATCCTGTTGCATTCCATGTTATTTCTTTCGTACTTGGGTCTGATTTATTGGTTTCTCCCCCTAAGGTTGGGAATACTGTCTCATTGAAATGACAGTCAGCGAACCGTGCGGTGAATAAGTCACCGGTCATCGGTTTAAGATATTTTATTATTGAGGGAGATTCAAATCCAACATAAATTTCCAACCTTCTTTGAGGACCCATTTTTGTACGATGAGGTGGAGCAATCGGAACATAAACAGCACAACCAAATATTTTATGTGTGCTAAGTTTGGCTCTTGTCCAGTAACTAATTGCATTGGGGAATATTCATGATATGCAGTCGGTCTAAGCCGAATTAAATTTGCTACATGCAAAATAGCATGCCCCCAAGCTGATGAAGGTAAATTACACTTCATTAATAATGGTCTAGCGATTAATTGTAATCGTTTAATCAAAGATTCAGCAAGACCATTTTGTGTATGGATATGAGCAACAGGGTGCTCCACATCAATCCCAATCGACATACAATAGTCGTTAAATGATTGGGAAGTAAATTCTCCTGCATTATCAAGTCGGATTCTCTTTATAGAATGATCCGGAAAATGAGCTCTTAATCGTATAATTTGAGCAAGGAGTTTAGCGAATGCTAAATTTCTAGTCGATAAAAGACTAACATGTGACCAACGTGTTGAAGCATCAATCAACACCATAAAATATCGAAATGGTCCACATGGCGGGGCTATCGGCCCACAAATATCTCCTTGAATCCTTTCTAAAAATGCAGGTGATTCAGTTGCAATTTTGTTCATAGAAGGCCTGATGATCATTTTGCCAAGAGAACAGGCCTTACAAGGAAAATCCCTTGATATTGGAACCCTTATATTCTTTAATGGGTGTCCAAGTGAAGTCTTAATGATTTTATGCATCATTACATGGCCTGGGTGACCTAAACGGTCATGCCACAACATGAATGTTTTCTGATCATCTAACTTTGCGTTAGAAACCAAATTTATTTCGAATGGACTAATATGAGTGAAATATAGTCCTGAGGAATATGCTGGCATTTTTTCACAAATACATTTAGTGCCAGATTTAGTTGTCGTTAGACAAAGATATTCCTTTTGGTTTTCATTCATGGTTTCTATGTGATAACCATTTTGACGCATATCTTTAAGGCTTAATAAATTTCTCCGCGATTTGCTGGAGTATAAAGCGTCATTTATAAGTAATTTTGTCCCATTAGGGAGCATCACATATGCTTTCCCAGAACCTTCAATGAGCTTCGCAACACCTGATATTGTATTGACTTTAGCTTCAACTAAAGCCATTTGAGAAAAATAGATTTTATTCCTCAAAATGGTGTGCGTTGTGGCGCTGTCTATCAGACATAGCTCTTTATCACTTGAGTGATCCATATCTTCAATCTCTACAATATTATAAGAGGGAATATTGTTAGGGGTGTAATGGTGATTAAAAAAATGTTGGTGTCTCTTAATGCATTAAGCCCTTATACCTTATGTTTACTTTGTTGTACATCTAACCTTATATTAACTTTCCGTTTTAACGGAACTGTTAAAACAGCCCATCTTCTAATGTCCGTCGTCTTGTTTGTGGAGAAATTTTAATGTCCTTTTACATTTAATTCAAGTTGTTGTAAAAGTTTTCCTTTCACCTCCTATTCCAGCACCACGCCGTCACTCCACAGTAGACCATTTATTCACACCGGCAAATTAAAGGAGGAGCTGCTGGAGGCCTGGAGCACTTGCGGTCGGGTCTTCACTGCTTGGACACTGTACGTTCTCCGGGCTACTATGCGAATACGCGATTGGGTGATTGGGTGAAGGAACCGCTGCACTCCCATGTTTCCTCCGGATTTGGTCAAGGAGGAAGACAGTACGTCTATTCCTATTTTATTTACTAGGAGACCATTTGGTAACACCGAAATCGGCTGAATCAGCTGTTTCTGTTGATATT